CGTTCCTCCTTTAAACCAGCTGATTTCTGCAGGTGGGTTTGAATCACTGCTGCAGCTCAGAGTCACTGAATCTCCCTCCACTATTTCACCAGACGGACTGATGGACACTGAGGTGTTCTTTGGAGGATCTAACACAGAAAAACATTGATGTCATTAAGTATTATAATAAATGTAACATCATAGAGCATGTTTAGAGGATTTAAAGTCACAGTTACTGAACCATCATTAACTCACACGTAATGTTTAAAGTCACAGCATCAGAGTATTTCTCTCCAAGTTTATTTCTGGACTTGCACTTGTATTCTTCACTGTGATCAGAGCTGATGTTTGAGATGTTGTAGATTCTTCCAGATCCTACAAGCGTTCCTCCTTTAAACCAGCTGATTTCTGCAGGTGGGTTTGAATCACTGCTGCAGGTCAGAGCCACTGAATCTCCCTCCACTATTTCACAACATGGACTGATGGACAATAAGACGTTCTTTGGTGGGTCTAAAGAGGACAAAAGTTTTTTTTTTCTTTTCCCCAGACATTAACTCAACAATTAATATACTAATGAATCTGCACTCACACATGACACTGAGATGAACAGCAGGAGAGATGTAAGTGTGTTCATGTTGAGCACAGCTGTATCTGCCTGCATCCTCTCTTCTGACTGACTGCAGCAGGAGTTGATTGTTTCTGTCTCTTCTCTCAGTTAATGGCTGTGAGTTTCTGTACCAGATGAATGTTGCGCTGTCAGTCAGAGTGCAGCTGCTTTTACATGTCAGACGCACTGAATCTCCCTCTGTCACTCTCTCAGGAGCCTCCACCTGAAGATCTGAACACAACACACACATTATATCTAGTGCTGCTGTCATACACTGATTATTACTCAACATAATGCACAGAAGAAGAGAGAAACCTCATGAAAGTCACCTGTCACAGTAAGAGTCACTCCTGGTTTACCAATCCATTTCTTATCAGGTTTATTAGTTGTGAATCTGAAATAGTACATGTGTTCATCCTTATGTGTCACATGACTCAGTCTGATGGTGCAGTTCTTCTGTTTATCTCCCAGATACTGAAGCCTCTGACTGTATTCAGGGTCCTTAGACAGATCTGGAAACACTTCATGTTCATCTTCTTCATCACTTGAATCTTTCTTTTTACCTTTGGTCCAGAACGCTTTCTTGATCTGATATCCAGTAGGGTACGTATAAGTGCAGTTCATTATCACTGATGAGTCCTTTAGTGCACAGATGTGTGAAGGACTGTAACTCACAACCCAATCAGCACTAGAAACCCCTGAAACACAGAATTCATAAGAAGAAAAGATTAGCAGCAGTTACTAACTGAATGTATTTGCTCAAGATCTTTGAATGTCTTTTGGTTGTTGAGTAGCACTGTTGCCAATCTGCGGTTTTCCCATAGAATTGGGCTACTTTATCACTGTTGCTGCGGGTTGTTTTTCATGTCCGCAGGTTGAAGCAACCCCAATAAATGATAATTTTACTAGGGGAATCCCACCAACAAATGTGTATTTTAATCCCCAGAAAGCGATTTTTACCGGGGGACCTCCCCTTGAAACACGTTTGGGCTAGTTTTGAGTAGCAATTGGGCAGGTTTTGTTGTGAAAACCTGGCAACCCTGCTGAGTAGAGGGTGTTGAAGAAAAGCAGCACTGAACAGCTGAGACAGAACAGTGAACTGGCACTGTCTAGATTAAAATATTAATCAGATACAATCAATATCATTCATCAGTATTTTCTGAGAAAAAACACATAACGAAGATAAGTTTGCCATTACATTTGCATTAGAAATGAGATACTGAGTAAAGCATTGGACAGACATTACAAAGACAGACTTCATGCTTGTACTGCTCCTATAGGAGAATAATTTGGTTTGTACTTAATTTTTGGAATCTGATTACATAATCCAAATTACATGTAATCAGTTACTACCCAGTTCCTTTATATACATAATTGAAAGCACAGCACAGCAAATAATTGAACCTTCTTTACACTGTCAGTCCAAATCCCATTATGTGCATATCTGATTCAAATCTGATCTAGACGACTGACTGTCCACACTGTGTATGGCAACTGCTCAAATGTGCTCTTTTATTTGACTGAATATCTGCATTGGTTTCTAACAACAATACAATTTGCATTACAGATGTTTTACAACATGTTGCCTTTACGCTGGATTATATTTCATCTTGAGATGAAGGGTGGGACAAGTGATATTTCAGGTGGGATGGGGGCATGTGCGTGGGGTTGTTGTTTTCTTTTCTTATATTTTTTTAATGTTCTATTCTTTTTCTGTTATTTTTTGCAAACTAGTTTCTATTCTAAGAAAGCAACACCAAACACTCAACACGGAAAACAAAAGCATGCACTGCACTCTAAGGAGTATTCAAGCCATGTTCTTTTGGCTTACTAGAGGGCTGCATTGGGAACGGGATCCTGTCGGACCCAGTGCAAATCTTGTGGGAGCAGGCGGTTTTACCCTTGCTGAGAAGTGGGCGGTCAAAAAATATAGTGTGGGGCACATAACCACAATTTGGCACATAACAAGAATAATGAAGTTACATTAACACTAGGCTTACTGCACTAGTTGGTGTTACACAGTGTTTGGTCATACACCGATTACATTACTAGACCACCACCTCCACTGTCATTTTGCATTTTTATAGAAATAAAAATAATTCAGTGCAGTTGGAAAACATACGGTACAATTCTAAACTTAAAGCATCTGCTCTACAGCAGGGTTGCCATGTCTGCATGACAAAACAGTCCCAAAGTAGTGCAATGACCATATCCCAAATATCAAAACTCTTATATGTCATTTCCATACCTAAAATACATATTTTACAGTCACTGTTGTGCAGATTGATCATAAACACATCTCAAAGGCTTCCTACCTGTGGCCCTCCTTCACAAAAGTTAACATCAGCACAGTTTTATCATATATTAAATATTTCACTACAAGCATTCCAGTGAAATTTAATTGATGCAATATTTCAAAACTTTAACCCACAAGGGGAAAAAAATCAACCCAACGGCAACAGTTTAAAAGCAGTCCAATAAAAAAAAAAAATTGTATAATGCGGACTTGGCAACCCTGCTTCCAACACGATTATCCACCTTATTTTTCCTATAAGAATACAATTTGTACATTTTATGGGTCTGGCTTCCGGTCTCATCCGTGTCCAGCTATTTTTAACTGTACAAAACACCTCGTTTTGCTGCTTGAGATTGCAAATTGGTGTGTCTTACCTTAATGCATGATATTAATTATGAACACACTGGTTTGTAGTGCAAACAGTTTTACCGTTTACTGCACGTTGTTATTCTTCTCGTTATTTCCCTTACAATGGCTAATGAACCGGAAGTCTCACCCATAGGCTTACAATTAAATATCGCACCAAGTTTGTGACAGGCCTGCTACAAAAAAATGTGAATTTTTGCTGATCACACAGGCTTAATATGCGGATTACAATCGGATATGCACAAAAATCCGAAAGTCTGAACAAGCCTACTGAGAAGCATCAGAAACTCACTGTGGATCATGAGAGAAAAGATGAGAGGAAGAAGAAGAGCCATTCTGACTGACATCACCATAGCAACACCTGCAACACAGAAATTTGAATATGGTTGAGATTTACAAGAAAAATATATTTCAGTCTTTCTACCTCCAAATTGTAATTGTAATTATTTGGGAAATTTACTAGCAATTTCTGAGTGGAAACAGTTTCAAAACAGACGCATTTTTTGTTAAGTGTAGAAGCATTGAAAATGTATAAACAAACAAACAAACAAACAAACAAAACATAAGAAACTGGTCATACCGTAGCGCAGGACAACTCATCAGCTGAAACCAAATGACACATGAAGAGAAAGGAGGAAGGTTTAGCAGCCTCATTTATAACCAGAACGGCGTCATTTCCAACTCATTTCCCCTTTCCTCTCTCTTTTTAACCTCTGATTATTGACGTCAAAATATTACATAAAAAAAGAAAATCTTTCTTTTAGATTTGCCAAAATAAAAAACAAAACAAAAAAACATTCTGTTTATTTCCTGGTCTATCTTGCAGATTTTCAGATCATGAATAGTTTGTTGTAAATGAAAGCCAGGAATAAATACATATATATTGCATGTAAGCTGGACTACTCACACCAGAGGTGTGGTTTTAACTCAAAGAGTTAAAGTTAATGAGATAATTAAGTGACTAATTAAATGATGATTGTGCATTAGTAATGAACACATCAAGGGTCAAGAGACCAACTAAAGCAAACCTTGACCACAATTATGGTGGCATTGTTTGTGTGTGTGTGTGTGTGTGTGTTTCTTCAGTTGATTCCATCCAAGGCTGTGGCTGAAGTCTGTAGTTCTTGTATTTCTCTTTTCTTCAATGATGTTGATTGTTCATTACTAATGCACAATCATCATTTAATTAGTCACTTAATTATCTCATTAAATTTATTATTTATTTTATTTTGAGGACTTGGGATTTGACTTGAGACTTGCTTGAGACTTGAAAGTCCCAACTCTGACTCACACTAAGCACAAAAGTTAAAAAGTACCTAAAGTCGTAAAATATACCCAGCAAAACCCCCAGTGTTAAATTAACTCTCCTCAGAGTTTATTTGAGTCCACACTCAAGAGTGTTAAAATGAACACTTAAGCAGTGTTAAGGTTAATGAGTTGATTAAGTGATTAATTGAATGATGAATGAACATTAGTGTAGACACTTGATATTAACAAGCAGAATCACTGAAGGAAAGTCAACTTTTTTAAGTCACCATGATGGTGGTCAGTGTTTGTATTAGTTGTGCTCTTGTACGTTGCGCTTGTTTGGCTACTATCATCAAGTTATAACAGCCAGATAAACCAAGAAGAAATGTGGTCAGGTGCTGTTGGTTAAATAGAAAATAAAAAACATGCATAATTTGCAAATAGTTATTTGTTTAAAAATTGAACGTGTTCATTTGTTTTAAAAAAAAATGCCTAGAATTGGTACTGTTTAAAAATGCTAAAAAAAACAACTCTGTATACTTTCCAGTAAGAGAACAAAAGCAAGTGTTATCCTCCTGCTCAAGGCCACTGTAATTTCATGGGAAAGCATAGAAATAATTGGTCGTTTCCTTTTCTGCTCTGAACACTGCTAAATTACGGGACTTTTTTTGTGGAGTGAGGGGAATATAAATCAAGAGTAGTGTAAGTTTTGGCAGGTCCCGTTAGTTAAGCTCGCGTAAGCTTACTCTCAGCTGATCCACGTCTACTTATAGGAATGCGACACCTATTACAGCACCCATATATAAGGTCCTTCAGCATTATCACCAGCTTTTGCATTGCTCAATAACTAATTAACCTCCTCCATCCCCAACTCCTCCTCTTGTCAGTCAGGATTCAGCCTTCTGATTCTCCTTTGAATTATACAAATTTCTAAAATGCTACATTAAATTATTGAACTTTAATGATATCTGCAATACATTTATGTTTGTTCTGTTCTGTTTACTCTAAGGGGGTTATTGCTGCTCTCCCTGCTCTGCATGCTAGGCTGCAAGGATGCACAGGGAGATCTTGCCTTATCTGTGTGTCATAAAGTGCTCATCAAAATAAAGTAGAGATGATACAATAATAGAACTGCCATGTATGTACAAATATACATACAGTACAGTAGTAAATGAGTATCAATTTAGCTTAATTTGTCATACACATATTAGGCGGCCCCTCACTTGATTTGGAGAACTTGATGCCCTTCAGTCAAAACGTTTGCCCACCTCTGGTCTAAAGAAATTAAGTGGTTCAAACTTTTTGTGTGTGTGCGCAGAATTTCATGCATTCACCACAGGGCTGCTGTAATCAATAATGTAGTGATGGCCGCTTTTGAATCACTGCTTCGTGACGCTTCGAAACTTTTGTGAGTTTGTGATCATTTGCTTCAAAACAGTGGTTTGGAGCACGTATCAAACTGCCAAAGTCACGTGATTTCAGTATACGAGGCTTCATTACATCAATTAATGTTTTGAAATGTTTGAAAATGTATACCATTGAGGGGGTCTTACAGGGGTCTCTGTAAACCTGTGAATCGAGCTAGTTCATTGAGATCGCCCTCCAGCAGGCGAAACATTGAACCAGCGTCTATGGTTTTTACCTGATCTCGGATCAGTTTCATCAATTTGTAGACATTTGTAACGAGTCATTTGTGTAATTAAAAGGATGTGAAGTAGTTAGTCTCTTACTTGCCTCTATATACAAGGTCTCTATAAAACAAACAAAACAAGCCAATTAATATAAAATATGTTAAAAACCACATATTATACAGGCATTTAATATTTAACGGTATTTTATAATTTCTTTATTGCATTTAATGTATTATGTGTTCAATAAAACATTTGCAATGGGTTTTTTAAACTGTTTTTATGCATGTTTTTGTTGCATTTACACACTTTTGACCAGCAGGCGTCACTAGTGTGTGGTGTTTTGAACGCTTCGAAACATTGAATCATTTTGCGAAGCAATTTGTTCAATTGATTCGAAGCTTCGAAAAGGTTTGTGTCTCCCATCACTACAATAATGTAAAATTACCACACCACTCATATAATCAGAGATTGGGCTCAGAATGATGTACGGTATAACCACAAGGTTTATGCTACCAAACCACGACCAGCAGCTTAACATATATTCGCTGTGTTTTCTATGCCATAACAAATGTGCTTTATAAACATACAGTTAATCAGAAAGAAATAATTTTTTTTTTAAAGAGTCAAGGGCCGAAATAAAGTAAACACTGACCACCATCATGGTGACTTAAAAATGTTGACTCTTTCCTTCAGTGATTCTGCTTGTTAACATCAGGTGTCTTCACTAATGATCAATCATCGTTCAATTAATCCCTTAATTATATGGTTTTTACCTGATCTCGGATCAGTTTCATCAATTTGTAGACATTTGTAACGAGTCATTTGTGTAATTAAAAGGATGTGAAGTAGTTAGTCTCTTACTTGCCTCTATATACAAGGTCTCTATAAAACAAACAAAACAAGCCAATTAATATAAAATATGTTAAAAACCACATATTATACAGGCATTTAATATTTAACGGTATTTTATAATTTCTTTATTGCATTTAATGTATTATGTGTTCAATAAAACATTTGCAATGGGTTTTTTAAACTGTTTTTATGCATGTTTTTGTTGCATTTACACACTTTTGACCAGCAGGCGTCACTAGTGTGTGGTGTTTTGAACGCTTCGAAACATTGAATCATTTTGCGAAGCAATTTGTTCAATTGATTCGAAGCTTCGAAAAGGTTTGTGTCTCCCATCACTACAATAATGTAAAATTACCACACCACTCATATAATCAGAGATTGGGCTCAGAATGATGTACGGTATAACCACAAGGTTTATGCTACCAAACCACGACCAGCAGCTTAACATATATTCGCTGTGTTTTCTATGCCATAACAAATGTGCTTTATAAACATACAGTTAATCAGAAAGAAATAATTTTTTTTTTAAAGAGTCAAGGGCCGAAATAAAGTAAACACTGACCACCATCATGGTGACTTAAAAATGTTGACTCTTTCCTTCAGTGATTCTGCTTGTTAACATCAGGTGTCTTCACTAATGATCAATCATCGTTCAATTAATCCCTTAATTATATGGTTTTTACCTGATCTCGGATCAGTTTCATCAATTTGTAGACATTTGTAACGAGTCATTTGTGTAATTAAAAGGATGTGAAGTAGTTAGTCTCTTACTTGCCTCTATATACAAGGTCTCTATAAAACAAACAAAACAAGCCAATTAATATAAAATATGTTAAAAACCACATATTATACAGGCATTTAATATTTAACGGTATTTTATAATTTCTTTATTGCATTTAATGTATTATGTGTTCAATAAAACATTTGCAATGGGTTTTTTAAACTGTTTTTATGCATGTTTTTGTTGCATTTACACACTTTTGACCAGCAGGCGTCACTAGTGTGTGGTGTTTTGAACGCTTCGAAACATTGAATCATTTTGCGAAGCAATTTGTTCAATTGATTCGAAGCTTCGAAAAGGTTTGTGTCTCCCATCACTACAATAATGTAAAATTACCACACCACTCATATAATCAGAGATTGGGCTCAGAATGATGTACGGTATAACCACAAGGTTTATGCTACCAAACCACGACCAGCAGCTTAACATATATTCGCTGTGTTTTCTATGCCATAACAAATGTGCTTTATAAACATACAGTTAATCAGAAAGAAATAATTTTTTTTTTAAAGAGTCAAGGGCCGAAATAAAGTAAACACTGACCACCATCATGGTGACTTAAAAATGTTGACTCTTTCCTTCAGTGATTCTGCTTGTTAACATCAGGTGTCTTCACTAATGATCAATCATCGTTCAATTAATCCCTTAATTATATGGTTTTTACCTGATCTCGGATCAGTTTCATCAATTTGTAGACATTTGTAACGAGTCATTTGTGTAATTAAAAGGATGTGAAGTAGTTAGTCTCTTACTTGCCTCTATATACAAGGTCTCTATAAAACAAACAAAACAAGCCAATTAATATAAAATATGTTAAAAACCACATATTATACAGGCATTTAATATTTAACGGTATTTTATAATTTCTTTATTGCATTTAATGTATTATGTGTTCAATAAAACATTTGCAATGGGTTTTTTAAACTGTTTTTATGCATGTTTTTGTTGCATTTACACACTTTTGACCAGCAGGCGTCACTAGTGTGTGGTGTTTTGAACGCTTCGAAACATTGAATCACGCGTAAGCTTACTCTCAGCTGATCCACGTCTACTTATAGGAATGCGACACCTATTACAGCACCCATATATAAGGTCCTTCAGCATTATCACCAGCTTTTGCATTGCTCAATAACTAATTAACCTCCTCCATCCCCAACTCCTCCTCTTGTCAGTCAGGATTCAGCCTTCTGATTCTCCTTTGAATTATACAAATTTCTAAAATGCTACATTAAATTATTGAACTTTAATGATATCTGCAATACATTTATGTTTGTTCTGTTCTGTTTACTCTAAGGGGGTTATTGCTGCTCTCCCTGCTCTGCATGCTAGGCTGCAAGGATGCACAGGGAGATCTTGCCTTATCTGTGTGTCATAAAGTGCTCATCAAAATAAAGTAGAGATGATACAATAATAGAACTGCCATGTATGTACAAATATACATACAGTACAGTAGTAAATGAGTATCAATTTAGCTTAATTTGTCATACACATATTAGGCGGCCCCTCACTTGATTTGGAGAACTTGATGCCCTTCAGTCAAAACGTTTGCCCACCTCTGGTCTAAAGAAATTAAGTGGTTCAAACTTTTTGTGTGTGTGCGCAGAATTTCATGCATTCACCACAGGGCTGCTGTAATCAATAATGTAGTGATGGCCGCTTTTGAATCACTGCTTCGTGACGCTTCGAAACTTTTGTGAGTTTGTGATCATTTGCTTCAAAACAGTGGTTTGGAGCACGTATCAAACTGCCAAAGTCACGTGATTTCAGTATACGAGGCTTCATTACATCAATTAATGTTTTGAAATGTTTGAAAATGTATACCATTGAGGGGGTCTTACAGGGGTCTCTGTAAACCTGTGAATCGAGCTAGTTCATTGAGATCGCCCTCCAGCAGGCGAAACATTGAACCAGCGTCTATGGTTTTTACCTGATCTCGGATCAGTTTCATCAATTTGTAGACATTTGTAACGAGTCATTTGTGTAATTAAAAGGATGTGAAGTAGTTAGTCTCTTACTTGCCTCTATATACAAGGTCTCTATAAAACAAACAAAACAAGCCAATTAATATAAAATATGTTAAAAACCACATATTATACAGGCATTTAATATTTAACGGTATTTTATAATTTCTTTATTGCATTTAATGTATTATGTGTTCAATAAAACATTTGCAATGGGTTTTTTAAACTGTTTTTATGCATGTTTTTGTTGCATTTACACACTTTTGACCAGCAGGCGTCACTAGTGTGTGGTGTTTTGAACGCTTCGAAACATTGAATCATTTTGCGAAGCAATTTGTTCAATTGATTCGAAGCTTCGAAAAGGTTTGTGTCTCCCATCACTACAATAATGTAAAATTACCACACCACTCATATAATCAGAGATTGGGCTCAGAATGATGTACGGTATAACCACAAGGTTTATGCTACCAAACCACGACCAGCAGCTTAACATATATTCGCTGTGTTTTCTATGCCATAACAAATGTGCTTTATAAACATACAGTTAATCAGAAAGAAATAATTTTTTTTTTAAAGAGTCAAGGGCCGAAATAAAGTAAACACTGACCACCATCATGGTGACTTAAAAATGTTGACTCTTTCCTTCAGTGATTCTGCTTGTTAACATCAGGTGTCTTCACTAATGATCAATCATCGTTCAATTAATCCCTTAATTATATGGTTTTTACCTGATCTCGGATCAGTTTCATCAATTTGTAGACATTTGTAACGAGTCATTTGTGTAATTAAAAGGATGTGAAGTAGTTAGTCTCTTACTTGCCTCTATATACAAGGTCTCTATAAAACAAACAAAACAAGCCAATTAATATAAAATATGTTAAAAACCACATATTATACAGGCATTTAATATTTAACGGTATTTTATAATTTCTTTATTGCATTTAATGTATTATGTGTTCAATAAAACATTTGCAATGGGTTTTTTAAACTGTTTTTATGCATGTTTTTGTTGCATTTACACACTTTTGACCAGCAGGCGTCACTAGTGTGTGGTGTTTTGAACGCTTCGAAACATTGAATCATTTTGCGAAGCAATTTGTTCAATTGATTCGAAGCTTCGAAAAGGTTTGTGTCTCCCATCACTACAATAATGTAAAATTACCACACCACTCATATAATCAGAGATTGGGCTCAGAATGATGTACGGTATAACCACAAGGTTTATGCTACCAAACCACGACCAGCAGCTTAACATATATTCGCTGTGTTTTCTATGCCATAACAAATGTGCTTTATAAACATACAGTTAATCAGAAAGAAATAATTTTTTTTTTAAAGAGTCAAGGGCCGAAATAAAGTAAACACTGACCACCATCATGGTGACTTAAAAATGTTGACTCTTTCCTTCAGTGATTCTGCTTGTTAACATCAGGTGTCTTCACTAATGATCAATCATCGTTCAATTAATCCCTTAATTATCTCATTACCTTTAACTCGGGGGGTGCCCAAACTCAGTCCTGGAGGGCCGGTGTCCTGCAGAGTTTAGCTCAAACCCCAATCAAACACACCTGAAGCAGCTAATCAAGCTCTTACTAGGCATACTAGAAACTTCCCAGCAGGTGTGTTGAGGCAAGCTGGAGCTAAACTCTGCAGGACACCGGCCCTCCAGGACCGAGTTTGGGCACCTCTGCTTTAACTCCACTTCAGTGTTAATTTTAAGTGTAGACTCAAATAAACTCTTAAGGAGAGTGGAGTGTTTGCTGTGTATACATCTGCTGACGTATGAGGGCCCATGTAGAGCTATTATTTATAGATTCTGTGGCAATCCATTAATAGGCAAAATGCAACAGTGGCTGTGTTGGTGTTTCCTGATGCACATACGCACGCCTGATGAGCAAATCTCCAGTGTGTCGTAACAGTCACAACGTTATGTTAAGTCATAAAACACATTTTTAGGTTGCCATTTATTCAGTGCATTTACGTGTCCATATCAACCACCAGAAGCTATAGTGAGACATCTAGTCAGTCACACTAAACAGAGTACCAACCCACACCAGTGTTATTTATAAGCCTGAATGACGGAAATGGACCTTAAAGGTTTGAAATAATAATGAATTCCAAGTAACTGGAATTAGTCATCTGCATCATTCAAACAAAAATACTTCTACAAGGATCTGTGCGATTTGAAAGACATCCTTATTGACACAATCAGGTCAAATAGGACAAGATATTGCATATATCGCAACGTGCATCCTCAGATAAATTTGGATATTGTACTCACAGTAGGCAGGTTGTGAAAAATATGAAATTATGAACATTTCTGCCTTGACAAGTTGTTGTCAGAAGTGTCTCTAGACAAAACATGCCACATTTCATACAAATTGGATGAGGAGTTTATTCTTTTTGAGGGTTTACCAACAATAATGTAGATTAAAATAACATAGTCATTATGTTTCCAAAAATCAGAGGTGTAAAGTCCAGGGGTGAGAAAGTAAAAGTCCTGCCATATGTTTACTCAGTTTATTCAGCTGATTTCAGATTTGACCAACATTTTGTCAGGAGGGTCTCTAGATTTCATACAAACTGGACGAAGAATTCAGGATTTCAGCAACATCCTGATCAGAGGACCAGTGAGAGAAAATGCTCTTTGCAAAAACAAGGAATAATCTAGCTCTTAGGTAAAACTAAAAAGAAGAAATGAAAATCCAGCATCAGACAAGCAGTGCCACAGTCCCACCACATGAGGGTGATGTCAACATGGAGATCAGTTTTTCCAGGAACAGTAGTTTCACCAAACTGATCCGTTGATCATTTGACTGCACTGTAAATCACTGATTGATCCTCCACCATCTGATCAGTACATCTGTGAAATGAATATATCCAGAGATATCACTGCATCAATGACCTTTACAGATGCCAATTAATACAACCTCAACCAATGCAGGAACGGCATTCAAGAGTGCTCAACAGTGTTCTGATTCAATCTTAATATGATTTATGATGTTATGAACATGCCATGATCGAGTTTCTCACCTCCTTGCAGCATCAGTCCGGTACTTTCTAATGTTGTCGTACTGGCTTTCCTTCTCTTCTGGTTGGTTCATCTCTTTGTTTCGATGATGCAGGACAGTTGCATACTGGATCTCTTCTGTATCTTCAGAATCAGATGCTTTTCCTTCAGTCTGATTGTGACTGACATTGCTGAGAGTAATTAAGGAATACAAGGCATTGTTTTGATTCACGGCATCAGATTCAGACAGAGGCCTATCGTGAGCTGATACGCTGACATAAAGGTCATCCTAAAATGAGAGAAAATTACTTGTTACACTGTATTTACGGCAAAAATAATTAATACCTCTATGTTATAACTTTTGCTTAATGCTCGTTTGATAATTTGATTTACCTGCTTTTGTGCGATGTGATTAGGTCTCAGTTTTTTCCTCCTGTAATAAAGAATCATCTAAAATGCATTTAGGAAATAAGCTTGGTATACTAATGTGTTTTCTGACACACAACATGAACTTACATGAACAACACAATGATGAATATGAAGATTAAACCTCCCAATCCTCCAGTGACTCCAGCAACTGCATACCAAAACTTCTTTCCTACAACAAGACAAGTGACAAGACAATGCTTTTATGTTTAATATGAGAAAATAAAACCATGATTCATAGTGTACAGCTGCAATTTTAACACAATCGCATTTATCTTCATAGTTAAAGATTTCATGACTGGTGCCCCCTTTGTCACATTTGAATGGATTGTTATTGCTGCTTCCATAAACATCTGTGTGTATTTCACAAACACGTACGTCTACAAGATGTCTCTTAAAGATCTCTTGATCTGGAAAGCATCTGCTGTGTGCAAACATCTGACAGACATCTGTAAGATGCCAGTTTTACATACATTCTAAATCATAAACATCTTAAAGACGTCTATTTGACATCTGATAGGAAACACCCAGATGAGCAAACACTTTAAAAAATACATCTTGAAGATGTAAATGCAGATGTCAAATAGACGTCTCCGAGATGTACAAGTGCTATCAGGGAGCACTTGTGTGTATTCAAATGTCTGAATCCAAAAAATAAGCAATATATGGTTGAAAACACTGCATAGTTGTGATTATATGAGAAGCACAGAGTGCATCCATCTCTGGCTTAGTGTCAGCCAAAGCTCGAAAGCAAAGTTTGAATTTGGCAGTTATGTGACGTCATTGACCATTCTGAATCTCATATGTACGACCGTACCTCCAGGGGCACAGATATAAAAATCAAATCATACCGCTCAAAAGGTTAATACAATGTGGAAATGAAAGCACACTAAATGCATTATAATTGTGTCCTAAAGTGACTGTTCCAACTCCAAACTGAGCCTGCACCAAATGTTGCTGTATTTAGGAAATTTTATAAATACATTCATAAAATTAATTACTTTAAACAGATTTTATAATTCTTAACCCCCCCTCATCCAGTTGCAGAATGGCTCAGTGATACACACCATGTACAGTGACAGCAACAGCGTCTGATCTCTGAGATCCGTGTTGATTGTGAGCCTCACAGTAGAAGCGTCCACTCTGTAGTGCACTGAAACTCTGTCCAGATCCAAAAGCTGAGCTTTGAGTCTCCTTAAACCAGCTGATTTCTGCAGGTGGGTTTGAATCACTGCTGCAGCTCAGAGTCACTGAATCTCCCTCCACTATTTCATCAGATCCATTTATGGACACTGAGACGCTTTTTGGAGGATCTGAAATGGACAAAAATTAAATGTCACAATAAATATGAGAAAATTAGGAATTCTAGAAATTTGAACAATGTACAAATGGTCATTAACTCACACATGACATTTAAAGTCACAGTATCAGAGTCTTTCTCTCCATGTTGATTTCTGGACTTGCACTTGTATATGCACTGAAACTCTGTCCAGATCCAAAAGCTGAGCTTTGAGTCTCCTTAAACCAGCTGATTTCTGCAGGTGGGTTTGAATCACTGCTGCAGCTCAGAGTCACTGAAACTCCCTCCATTATTTCACCAGATGGATTCACTGCTACAGAAGATTCCTTTGGAGGATCTAGAGGTCCAATATAAATGAAAATAATATTAGTATGTAAGTCAAATGTATTTATATAGCACCTTTCCCAGACAAGGGGTCACAAAGTGCTTTACAATAAAATTAAAATCAAAACAAGTTAAATACCAGCTGTACAAATACCACCAAAAATTGCTTCCAGACCATATTGTTAGTTAAAAGCTTGTCTAAAAAGATATGTCTCTAGGTGTTTTTTTAAAAGATTCTAAAGAAACTTATAGTGCAATGATAAGGGTAGAGAGGTCCAAAGCCTTGGAGCCACGACACAGAAAGCACGGTCACCCCTTGTCTTAAGACGTGTTCTGAGAATAGTTAAAAGGTCTAGGTCAGAAGACCTCAAAGTCCGGCCAGGGGAGTGTGCATGTAATAGATCCTGGATATAAGAGGGTGCCTGACCATGCAGGACTCCATAAGTAATGACCACAATTTTAAAATGTACTCTAAAACCAATGGGAAGCCAATGCAGGGCCTTTAGCACGGGAGTAATGTGCGACCTCCTGCTGGTCCTAGTCAAAAGCCTTGCAGCCGCATTCTGTATATCACAAAAAATTGCTTCCAGACCATATTGTTAGTTAAAAGCTTGTCTAAAAAGATATGTCTTTAGGTGTTTTTTAAAAGATTCTAAAGAAACTCATAGTGCAATGATAAGGGTAGAGAGGTCCAAAGCCTTGGAGCCACGACACAGAAAGCACGGTCACCCCTTGTCTTAAGACGTGTTCTGAGAATAGTTAAAAGGTCTAGGTCAGAAGACCTCAACGTCCGGCCAGGGGAGTGTGCATGTAATAGATCCTGGATATAAGAGGGTGACCATTCAGGGCTCCATAAGTAATGACTACAATTTTAAAATGTACTCTAAAACCAATGGGAAGCCAATACAGGGCCTTTAGCACGGGAGTAATGTGCAACCTCCTGCTGGTCCTAGTCAAAAGCCTTGCAGCCGCATTCTGTACAGCTTGTAATAGATCCATAGAAGATTTGTTCAAACAAGTGTAGAGAACATTGCAATAGTCTAACCGTGTAGAGATAAATGCATGAAAAAGCATCTCCATCTCTTTTTTTGAAACCATAGATCTAATCTTAGCAATGTTCCTAAGATGGAAAAAACATGAACGAACTACAGATTTTACATGACTGTTCAAACACATAGACCTGTCAAAAATGACACCCAGATTTTTTATGTCACTGCTATCAGAGGATGATAAACCCCCAATAGCCTGCCTAATCTTAGAAGTAATGTTGTCAGGGGCAATAATCATCACCTTAGTTTTATCATTATTTAGTTGCAGAAAATTGTCTGACATCCATTTATTAATGGAGGCCAAACAATTCTGCAGAAGGGACAGTTTGTCTAGTCTATCAGGACTAAAATAAATATATAATTGGATGTCATCGGCATAACAATGATAAGATATTTTAAAACTGCTAATAATCTTGCCAAGAGGAAGCATATACAGACTAAACAGCAGAGGGCTAAGCACAGAACCTTTTGGCACACCACAGGACAGAGGAACAATGTCTGACATGTAAGTTCCTATGGACACAGAAAAACTCCTATCAGAAAGATAGGAGGATAACCAATCCAGAGCTAATCCAGAAATGCCAACTAGAGAATGCAGTCTATTAATCAAAGTGATCAACAGTATCAAATGCTGCGCTACGGTCTAACTTCACCAGCATCAGCAGCCATCAACATGTCATTTGAGACCCTACAGGAGGGCAGTTTCAGTCTAATGGTTTTTACCAAAGCCAGACTGAAATTTATCACAGATATCATGAGCCTCCAAAACCGTATTTACAGTAACTGCATTGCCAATAGCTTCTTTAAGATTTTCTTTTTTTCTAAGATTTTAGAGAAGGCAATTTATTTATTTAATGTATTTATATATATGTATATGTGTGTGGCTGTACATACTCATATGTAGTTGTTTTTTTGGTGTTTGGCTTAGTGTTATAGACTCATTATTATACTCATACCTTTTGTTCTTTTAATATTTTTGAATTGTTTTTAGCTTTATTTTTTTGTTTTCATTTAAATGTTTTAGTTTTGAAATGTTGTTGTATGCATTTGTCATTTTTATTTAATTTCTTTTATTTTCTGAAAAGCTTTTAGCTTTTAGTTTTAATTACTTTTTCTTATGTGTATGTTTGAATGGTTTTTAGCTTTATTTTTTTGTTTTCATTTAAATGTTTTAGTTTTGAAATGTTGTATGCATTTGTCATTTTTATTTAATTTCTTTTATTTTCTTAAAAGCTTTTAGCTTTTAGTTTTAATTACTTTTTCTTATGTGTATGTTTGAATGGTTTTTAGCTTTATTTTTTTGTTTTCATTTAAATGTTTTAGTTTTGAAATGTTGTATGCATTTGTCATTTTTATTTTTAATTTAATTTAATTTATTTTCTTAAATGTGTGTGTGTGTATATATATAGTATTTATAGAGTTTTAGCTTTTAGTTTTAATTACTTTTTCTTATTTGTAAGTCGCTTTGTATAAAAATGTCTGCTAAATGACTAAAAGTAAAAGTAGAAGTCAATTTAGAAAAAGGCCTGTAGTTATTAAATTATGTTATATCAAGACTACTCTTTTTCAAGAGAGGCTGAACAACATCATGTTTAAAACACCTAGTCACCTGGCCCAGCCTAAGAGATAGATGTAATAGACTTCATAAAGAGACGTAGGCAAAATATCCACAGGGCTTTGGGAAGGTTTCATCATGCCCACTAACTTGATGTCATTTAGGGAAATGGGACTAAAGGAGTCCAAAATTGACAGACTTTGTTGGGTAACTGTAAGAGGATTTGCTGGTGATGCAATGTTTGCCCTGACAGCCATAACCTTGTCCACAAAATGAGACAAAAAATGATTGCAGTCATTATTAGAAAACACAGGGACAAGAGACGTAGCAGGAGAAACAATATTGTTAACAGTTTCAAACAAAGTTTTAGGATCATTTTGCAGGCAGATATCAGTTTCATAAAATAAGATGCTCTAGCATCCTTGATCCTCTCATTTAGATCTGACAAGATCTCTTTAAGATGCACGTGGTGGACTTCAGGGGTAGAAAGCTGAGTCGCTTTCCTGAATAGTTTTTTCAGTCTTCCGACAAACACGTCTAAAGCTTCATTTATCCACAAGGGGGTGTTAAAATGGGGGGTTTGTCAAGTTTTTAAATGAGCCACTCTGTCCAGTAGCAGGGTGCAATGTTCATTAAATGACTGTAACGTAGCATCAATGTCATTTGAGATAATAACCGAGCTTGAGTCAAAGGCGGCTGAGAAATTCTCAACAGCACGCTGGTTAATCATGCGAGAGCAGGATGCTCGCTTAATAGGCAGAGGATCCTCATTAAAAGCAAGATCAAATAAAACGCATTTGTGATCACTATATCCATCTTCAGTACATATAGTGCCAAATGTTTAGACCGTGAGAGAAAACTAGATCGAGCGTAGGACCCTTACTGTGCTTAGGACCAGAGACATGTTGAATAAATTTAAAAGATTCCATAATATTTAAAAATTCAGAAGCAGCATTACAAGCCTAGAATATAAAATCAACTGCGGGCGGCAGATACTTTTCCAATTTAGCGCCCAAACTCTGAAACAACCTACCTAACATTGTTCGGGAGGCAGATACACTCTGTCAGTTTAAAACTAGCTTAAAGACCCATCTCTTTAATCTGGTTTACACATAACACACACTAACACATTTCTAATATTCAAATCCGTTAAAGGATTTTTAGGCTGCATTAATTAGGTCAGCCGGAACCGGGAACACTTTCCATAACACCCGATGTACTTGCTACATCGTTAGAAGAATGGCATCTATGCTAATATTAGTGTGCTTCTCTCTTATTCCGAGGTCACCGTAGCCACCAGATCCAGTCTGTATCCAGATCAGATGGTCACTGCAGTCACCCGGATCCAGTACGTATGCAGACCAGATGGTGGATCAACACCTTGAAAGGACCTCCACAGCCCTGAATGTCAGCAGAGATCAGGACAATTAGATGAGCCCCAGAGACAGATCCCCACTGAAGACCTTGTCTCCTAGACGGCCACCGGGACAAGACCACAGGAACCAGATGATTCCTCTGCACAATCTGACTTTGCTGCAGCGTGAAATTGAACTGCTGGTTTCACCTGGCCAGAGGAGAACTGGCCCCACGACTGAGTTTGGTTTCTCCCAAGGTTTTTTCTCTATTCTGTCACCGATAGAGTTTTGGTTCCTTGCCGCTGTGGCCTCTGGCTTGCTTAGTTGAGGACACTTATTTTCCAGCGATATCTTCAACTTGATCGCACAGATACTATTTAAACTGAACTGAGCTGGATGATGACATCACTGAATTCAATGATGAACTGCCTTTTTGCATTATTGACACACTATTTTCCTATTTAATGCTGTACAGTTGCTTTGACAATCTGTATTGTTAAAAGTGCTATAAAAATAAAGGTGACTTGACTTAACTTGACAAGCATTATCATCCATGTGAATATTAAAATCACCGACAATAATCACTCTGTCCAATTTAATAATGGACGATAAAAAGTCAATAAATTCTCTCGGAAAAGAGGCCGCTGGCCCAGGTGGCCGATAAACTAAAAAACAATAAAATGAGTTTGAACGACCAACCTTAGTCATCTGTAGTTCAAATGAAGAGTACGTACCACCAGCAGTCATAGACTGGCAATAAAATGCTTTTTAAAAACCACAGCAAGTCCTCCACCGCGGTCTGTGAGTCTAGGCGTGCTGATAAAAGAACAATCCACAGGGCAGACCTCGATCAGATGACAGTACTCCATACTCCTTTGCCATGTCTCCGTCAGCAACATAAAATCCAGGTTTTTGGAAGTGAATAATTCACTGAGCAGAAATGACTTGTTTGAAATTGAATGGGCGTTAATCAAAGCCATCTTGAGTGGTGCCAAAACAACACCTGACGCAGAGGGCAACACACCATGACCAGATGTAAGTTTGAGGGACCAAAATCATAGGGACGTCCAGGAAGACAGAATGAAGATACAATGGTCTGGAGCCATCATAAAATGCACCCGGACCACTCCAGGTACATACCCCACCACACTCCTCCATAGAGGATCGAATCAGAAGCATTGTTTGGCGATCATACACCCATGCAGTAGACACGACATTTGTGGACAAACTTAATGGCAATATAGCACAGAAAACAAATAAAACGAATCAGGGTGAACATCCAGCAACAGCGGCAAAGCCAAATACTGGCGCCATGCCAAAACCGGAAGAGGATTGTCCCATTACTAAAATCTTTTTGCATTTCTAATTCAATTCTGTTGTTAAAACTTTGGTAACACTTTATTTTGATGGTCCCTTTTGAGCACTCTTTTGACAATAAGTAACTTTGCACCTACATGTCAACAAACTGTCATTAAAGTATTAGTAGACTGATTAATAACATGCTTGCTCTTTATTGTGATGGTCTCACCAACAGACATTCTACTGACTATAAGTAACTTTGCAAGTACGTCAACTTATTCTAACCCTAACCCTACCAGTCTACTAATACTCTAATGAGAGTTAGTAGATATGTAGGTGCAATGTTACTTATAGTCAACAGAATGTGTTAAAGGGACCATCAAAATAAAATGAAACCAAAACTTTTATATAATCTGACTCCTCTGTTGTGTGATATTCTAACACATTTACTCAGGTTGCTGAAAAATATGATTGAATCTGTACTCACACGTGACATTGAGATAAACAGCAGGAGAGATGTAAGTGTGTTCATGTTGAGCACAGCTGTATCTGCCTGCATCCTCTCTTCTGACTGACTGCAGCAGGAGTTGATTGTTTCTGTCTCTTCTCTCAGTTAATGGCTGTGAGTTTCTGTACCAGATGAATGTTGCTCTGTCAGTCAGAGCGCAGCTGCTTTTACATGTCAGACGCACTGAATCTCCCTCTGTCACTCTCTCAGGAGCCTCCACTGCATATTTTGCATGTCTCGCTTAGTTAACACACCCGATTCAGATAATCAGATCATTAGAAGTGAGCTACGTGCATGAACTGTGTTCCGATCAATGTGATCCCTACACAGTGTTCATTGCTCCCTACTCCCTGAGCAGGGGAAATCTGTTTAAGTTTACTTCACTTCAGAACACGGGCTGGAATTGGAAACCACTGATGTAGCCTATTGTAGTAATGTTGTCTCCGGTATTCTGGTCTGTGAGCGTATATGCGTTCAGGGGGTGTGGCTTTGGACAGCGATTGCAGGGAGGGTGGGACATTCACTTTCAGTGCTATCAGGCTAATGTTAGCATTTTCCAAGATCTACTGCACCTTTAATAAAACGCCTCAAGCATGAGGAACGAGTGAGGAAAAATGTACATAAGCATCCAACTCAGCTCACAAACAGAAAATAATAAAATAAAGATAAACAGATGTCAGGAGAGTGAGTTATCTCTTCACCTTTCCATCTCATACAGACACACGCCAAGCACATGCGCAGCTGTCAATCTGCCACAAGACTACCATAAATGCTCTAGTGGCTGTTACATAATGCAGCAAAGTTGATATATCCCATACAAAAATGTAATATATGACACATATTGCCCACTATGAGTATATATTGTCATATATGTTACCTATAAGGCCATATACTGCAAATAATTGTCCTGAAAATTCACAGTAAATAGGGCAAAAAAGCCACTTAGTTACTGTTAATTGTACAGTTTTACTTTAAGGTAGATACCATGCACTTAATTAAAACTCGAGTATCATTTGCACAAACCAACTGCCTTAAATTGGCACACTGCCATTTAAGTTGGATTAATGATCAGACTGGTGAGTTTGTAATCGTGAGGTCCAGCGTAAAATGACCAACATGAAGCAACATAGATTCCTAACGAGCGATTAAATATAAAGTAAAGGGTTAACTAGAATAATCAAGTGTCAGAATAACAATAATTATAAATGGAAAAACAACTTATTTGTATGACAATCTAAATCCGAGGTTATAACTAAATGGAGTCAGATTAGAATTTAACTTAAATTTAATAACTTAAATTGAAACACTGAAAAGATCGAACATGCAGGAAACCTTTAGCCACCACTGGATACCTTTGTTGGGCCAATTGGTTGGACCTTACAATGTAAAGAAGTAACATTAAATGACACTAAAGCTACATGAAGTGGTACACTGCTCAAAAAATTCAAGGGACACTTTGAAAACATAAGATCTCAGTGGGAAAAAAATATCATGCTGGACATCTAAACTGATATGGACTGGATAATGTGTTAGGAACGAAAGGATGCCACATCGTTTGATGGAAATGAAAATGATCAACCTACAGAAGGCTGAATTAAAAGATATATATATATATATATACTGTATATAATACACACACAAAGAAAAACATGTAGATAGAATAGTAAAAATAGAAAGCTGCTAGTTTAAAAAAAAAAAATATATATATATATATAAGTCGAATTAAAATAGAATAGAGTGCTAGAGTTAGAGGGTCAAATAAAGATGGAACAGATGTGTTTTTAATCGTTTCTTGAAGATGGTTAAGGACTCAGCTGCTCGGATTGAGTTGGGCAGGTCATTCCACCAGGAGGGAACAGTTAATGTAAAAGTCCGTTTTGTGCCTCTTTGGAATGGCACAATAATGCATCGTTCACTTGCAGAACGCAAGCTTCTAGAGGGCACATAACTCTGAAGTAATGAATTTAGTTAAATGGGTGCAGAGCCAGTCGTGGTTTTGTAGGCAAACATTAATGCCTTGAATTTTATGCAAGCAGCTATTGGTAGCCAGTGCAAATTTATGAACAGAGGTGTGACATGCGTTCTTTTCGGCTAGAAGTAACAGTAAGAATAGAATTAATGAGACTAGATGGTTTTATTCGCATCGTGGCTAAGTATCAGCGGGCGTGCAGGCCGAAGCACATTGGAAAGGCACTCGCTGAATTCACGGGCAAAAAGCATGGCTAAAAGCTATGACTAAAACATAATTTGATGGTGTCTTGAGCATTTAAACCGGGCTGTTGGACACATCCCAAATGGTGCCTTGACCAATTAGATATTGTCTTTGATCGGGGTGTTGTATGTTTCTCCTTCCAATACATAAATCAACATGTGATCTTATCAGTCACATGGTCCGAATTTTCCCGTTCTTGCAGAGTATATTTTTGGACATGATTTCTATAACAAGAATATGATACATTTGACAAAGAATTGATTGGAAGAAACGTTTAAAGCATGAATTTTCAAACTCATACCCAATATACATACTCAACATGAATATAATCCTATAAACTATTCAATAGTTATTCAAAATACATACACAATAAGTGATTAGAACATGATAGCCAAATGTGTAGGTTACATACATGATATAGAATTATGCATAGAATTGATTAGTTGCTCATACAGTGCCTTGCGAATGTATTCATACCCCTTCATTTTTTCACATTTTGTTTTGTTGCTACATTATGTTAAACTGCTTTCAATTAGTTTTTTTCCACAACAATCTACACCATAATTGTCAAGTAAAAAAACATATTTTTAACATCTTTGCAAATTCATTAAAAATAAAAAACGAAAACGATTCCATTGCATAAGTATTCATACCCTTATCTGGGACAGTTGAAATTTAGCTCAGGAGCATTCATATCGTTTGTAGATATTACTACACTTCAAGTGAAGTTAACCTGTGGCAAATTCACTCGAATGGGTATGATTTGGAAAGGCACACGTCTTTAATAAAAGGTCTAACAGCTGATAATGCATATCAGAGCAAAAACCAAGCCCTGAGGTCAAAAGAACTGCCTGTAGAGCTCAGAAACAGGTTTGTGTCAAGCCACACATCTATGGAAGAGATCAGAAAAACAATTCTGCTTCATCGAAGGTTCACAGAAGCATGTAGTCTCTGTTACCCTTAATGGAAGAAGTTTGAAACAACCAGGACTCTTCCTAGAGCTTGCCTCCTGGCCAAACTGAGCAACTGATGGAGAAGGGCTTTGGTTAGCACGGTGACCAAGAACCTGATGGTCACTCTACTTGAGCTCCATGATCATATATGCAGATGGGAGAAATCTACAGAAGGACAAACATTGCTGCAACACTCCACCAATCCAGTCTTTATGGCGGTGTGGCCAAATCACCTGCAGAGTACCATCCCAAAAGTAAAGTGTGCTGGTAGCAGCCTCATGCTGTGGGGCTGTTTTTCAGCAGCAGGGACTGAGGGGCTCGTTAGAGTAGAAGAAACGCTCAGTGCAGCAAAATATAGAGATAGCCTTAATGAAAACCAAGTCCAGAGCATTCAGAACCTCAGACTGGGCATGGTTCACCTTCCAACAGGACAGTGACCCTAAGCACACAGCAAGAGTGGCTTATAGACAACTCTGTGAATGTCCTTGAGTGGCCCAGCCACAGCCTGGGATTGAACCCAATCAAATATATCTGGAGAAACCTGAAAATGTGCATCTGCCCCCATCCAACCTGACAGAGCTTGAGAGGTGAACAGGTGAGGTGAAGACTGGTGGATAATTGCAAAATGCTGATGAGCAAAGAAGAATCAAACAAAAAAAGACTTGAGGCTGTTAAGGTGCTTCAGCTAAATATTTAGTTAAGGGTATGAATACTTATTTCAGTTTTTTATTTTTAATACATTTATGAAGTTGTGACAATTCTGTTTGTGCTTTGTCAGTATGGTGTATGGAGTGTAGATTGATGTGGAAAAAAAGTAATTTAAAGAAGTTTATCATAAGGCAGCAACATAAAATGTTAAAAATATATATATTTTCGCAAGGCACTGTAAGTCCTTTTAGCGTCATTTAGGTGCATATATACATGGAAACGCAGTTACATAAATCAACATGTGATCTTATCAGTCACATGGTCCGAATTTTCCCGTTCTTGCAGAGTATATTTTTGGACATGATTTCTATAACAAGAATATGATACATTTGACAAAGAATTGATTGGAAGAAACGTTTAAAGCATGAATTTTCAAACTCATACCCAATATACATACTCAACATGAATATAATCCTATAAACTATTCAATAGTTATTCAAAATACATACACAATAAGTGATTAGAACATGATAGCCAAATGTGTAGGTTACATACATGATATAGAATTATGCATAGAATTGATTAGTTGCTCATACAGTGCCTTGCGAATGTATTCATACCCCTTCATTTTTTCACATTTTGTTTTGTTGCTACATTATGTTAAACTGCTTTCAATTAGTTTTTTTCCACAACAATCTACACCATAATTGTCAAGTAAAAAAACATATTTTTAACATCTTTGCAAATTCATTAAAAATAAAAAACGAAAACGATTCCATTGCATAAGTATTCATACCCTTATCTGGGACAGTTGAAATTTAGCTCAGGAGCATTCATATCGTTTGTAGATATTACTACACTTCAAGTGAAGTTAACCTGTGGCAAATTCACTCGAATGGGTATGATTTGGAAAGGCACACGTCTTTAATAAAAGGTCTAACAGCTGATAATGCATATCAGAGCAAAAACCAAGCCCTGAGGTCAAAAGAACTGCCTGTAGAGCTCAGAAACAGGTTTGTGTCAAGCCACACATCTATGGAAGAGATCAGAAAAACAATTCTGCTTCATCGAAGGTTCACAGAAGCATGTAGTCTCTGTTACCCTTAATGGAAGAAGTTTGAAACAACCAGGGCTCTTCCTAGAGCTTGCCTCCTGGCCAAACTGAGCAACTGATGGAGAAGGGCTTTGGTTAGCACGGTGACCAAGAACCTGATGGTCACTCTACTTGAGCTCCATGATCATATATGCAGATGGGAGAAATCTACAGAAGGACAAACATTGCTGCAACACTCCACCAATCCAGTCTTTATGGCGGTGTGGCCAAATCACCTGCAGAGTACCATCCCAAAAGTAAAGTGTGCTGGTAGCAGCCTCATGCTGTGGGGCTG